GGCCCCTGTAATATCCTCCATTGAATGCGGCATTCTGCTCTCTCTGCACAACACTGATAACAAGCAGTTCCTCATACGATTTGGATACAATTCTGAATTCTACGCTTTTCTCTTAGGATGTTGCTATATCTCTGCCCGCAGTGTGACTCAGCCATACCGGACCACATTGCAAATTGCTAATCTGTCCTTTCATCTCCCTGAGTGCGTGTGAGAGCAGCTTGTGATGTCTTTCAGTGAAGTGATCTATCACCCAGATCCTTTCAACAGAAGCCGAGCCTGCAGTCATTTCAACATTAACCCCTTAAAGCTTGCTCCATCGAAACCCGGTTCTCAGTAACGGGGCAAACTGTTTAGCAGGATCCTGCCGGGCTCCAAGACTCCTGCCTTGCCAGGTAAAGTGCGGAAGCTAGAAGTCAGTCAAGCCACGATTGATTGGCTGAGATCGTTAGCTCCCCCTCAGACGATGAATGCAATTCTCTACCTAGGAATGTGCATAGGATTGACCAGCACGGGACTCTAATTCTGGGCTGGCTAATGACATTGCAATGACGTAGCTGCTCCTGGAGCAGAATGATTAAACGCAGTATGTGTAGCGTTTCAAGCAAAACGCTGCACATACATACTCCAGGCACCATAACCACTTCAGAACACTGAGGTGGTTGGAATTACCCTTTGCTGAGAGTCCAGAACCACCATCATAGAACACAAATTGCTTCTAGGTGCCAATGGGCTAATCAAATAGGATCCTTTGGGAGCCTTCCTTAATGAACTCATTAATTATCATATGGCACATGAACTGCACATTTTTAATTTGCTGCTTATTACTATGAAGGGATTATTTGTGTCCATGTAAACATTTACCCTGTACGTGGGGTATGAGGTCATATCACTGCGCAGGGGATGCTAAGATCCAGAACCACCTGGGGTTTGAATCCAAAACAAAACTTTATGAAACTTACGCTAACAGGGTTTGTGATGTCACAACATATCCCGCCTTGCTATGTTACATACCCATATCAGGACACACTGCCCATCTAGTGTAACGTTCTATACTAGTGATCTTTCGTTTTATATTAATCAGCTGCATTGAGGAAAAATGTAAAAAATTATACACTTATACCTTCTTGCCTCCTCCACTAACCGTTGAGAACTGTGGCTCAAAGAGACACTCCAGACCCCTAGAGCAGTTCAATTTGCTGAAGTGCCTCATGTGTTATAAGAGTGTGTCCTCTTTTTTAACATTTTACAAAAAGTATGGATTTCAGTAGAAATTGCCTTTTAAAAAAAAATAAAATAACCTGGTTACACCCCCTGGCTGTCAATCAGACAGCTGCATTGGGAAGTCTGTGATTGGACAGCTACAGGAAGTCTGGGCAGGGCTAGAATGGAAGGGTTTACAAAAGATGCAGACAAGAGATCTGCAGCTTTTGCAAGCTATTGTTGCATATATCGCAATGAACAAATGCATAATTAATTGCATGCATGTTTTCATTTGGGTATGTCTACTAAACAGCGATTTATTTTTTTTTGTATTTTTTGTGTGCTGCTCAAAGTCAATCCCCAGAGTTTTGGAATCTGACTGTTAGCCGACACAATATGTACACTCAAGATCACAATTCCAATCACAGTATTATTCACTAACGTGAGAATTCAAATTACGGTTAAAATCGTTAAACTGGAATAAATCTTTACCTCGGCTACGCTTTCAGATCTCACTTTAGTGAATAATCCTGTTAAAGCGACACTCTAGGTCTGGGTGCAGTGTCCCTGTCTCCCTTCATGTCATTGAAGTGGTCTGGGTGCAGTGTCCCTGTCCCCCTTCATGTCATTGAAGTAGTCTGGGTGCAGTGTCCCTGTCCCCCTTCATGTCATTGAAGTAGTCTGGGTGCAGTGTCCCTGTCCCCCTTTATGTCATTGAAGTAGTCCTGGTGCAGTGTTCCTGTCCCCCTTCATGCCATTGAAGTAGTCTGGGTGCAGTGTCCCTGTCCCCCTTCATGTCATTGAAGTAGTCTGGGTGCCGTGTCCCTGCCCCCCTTCATGTCATTGAAGTGGTCTGGGTGCAATGTCCCTGTCCCCCTTCATGTCATTGAAGTGGTCTGGGTGCAGTGTCCCTGTCCTCTATGTCATTGAAGTAGTTCAGTGCAGTGTCTCGTCCCCTTCATGTCATTGAAGTAGTCTGGATGCAGTGTCCCGTCCTCTTCATGTCATTAGCACTGGGTGTAGTGTCCCTGTTCCCCCTTCATGTCATTGAAGTGGCTCTGGGTGCAGTGTCCTTTGTCCCTCTTCTCGTGTCATTGAAGTAGTCTGGGTGCAGTGTCCCTGTCCTTCATGTCATTGGAAGTAGTCTGGGTGCAGTGTCCCTGTCCCCCTTCATGTCATTGAAGTAGTCTGGGTGCAGTGTCCCTGTTCCCCCTTCATGTCATTGAAGTAGTCTGGGTGCAGTGTCCTCATCCCCCTTCATGTCATTGTAGTAGTCTGGGTGCAGTGTCCCTGTCCCCCTTCATGTCATTGAAGTAGTCTGGGTGCAGTGTCCCTGTTCCCCCTTCATGTCATTGAAGTAGTCTGGGTGCAGTGTCCTTGTCCCCCTTCATGTCATTGAAGTAGTCTGGGTGCAGTGTCCCTGTCCCCCTTCATGTCATTGAAGTAGTCCTGGTGCAGTGTCCCTGTCCCCCTTCATGTCATTGAAGTAGTCCTGGTGCAGTGTCCTTGTCCCCCTTCATGTCATTGAAGTATTCCTGGTGCAGTGTCCCTGTCCCCCTTCATGTCATTGAAGTATTCCTGGTGCAGTGTTCCTGTCCCCCTTCATGTCATTGAAGTAGTCCTGGTGCAGTGTCCCTGCCCCCCTTCATGTCATTGAAGTGGTCTGGGTGCAGTGTCCCTGTCCCCCTTCATGTCATTGAAGTAGTCCTGGTGCAGTGTCCCTGTCCCCCTTCATGTCATTGAAGTAGTCTGGGTGCAGTGTCCCTGTCCCCCTTCATGTCATTGAAGTATTCCTGGTGCAGTGTTCCTGTCCCCCTTCATGTCATTGAAGTAGTCCTGGTGCAGTGTCCCTGCCCCCCTTCATGTCATTGAAGTGGTCTGGGTGCAGTGTCCCTGTCCCCCTTCATGTCATTGAAGTAGTCTGGGTGCAGTGTCCCTGTCCCCCTTCATGTCATTGAAGTATTCCTGGTGCAGTGTTCCTGTCCCCCTTCATGTCATTGAAGTAGTCCTGGTGCAGTGTCCCTGCCCCCCTTCATGTCATTGAAGTGGTCTGGGTGCAGTGTCCCTGTCCCCCTTCATGTCATTGAAGTAGTCCTGGTGCAGTGTCCCTGTCCCCCTTCATGTCATTGAAGTAGTCTGGATGCAGTGTCCCTGTCCCCTTCATGTCATTGAAGTAGTCCTGGTGCAATGTCCCTGCCCCCCTTCATGTCATTGAAGTAGTCCTGGTGCAGTGTCCCTGCCCCCCTTAGCTCTGCAATGTTAAACAGAGAAACTGCAATGTTTATATTGCAGGGTTAAGATTGCCCCCAGGTAATGTCTACCAGACAGCCACAAGAGGCCCTTCCTGCGGTTTCATGGAGATTGACTCTTTGCACGAGGACATCCAGCGTTTCTAAAACCCCATAGGAAAGCACGGATTCAAAGCATTCCTATAGGGAAGGCCTAACTTAAGTACGGCGTTCCCCCTCGTGATAACATCGGATCCGGCATCGAAGGACCTTGGCACTGGAAGAAGAGAAAGTGAAAATAGCTTTTTTTGCACCCTTAGATAATCATGGGGACTGGAGGGAGGACCCTAAAGTACAGCTGTGTATTCTCAGTACTATCGTGTTCCTTTAATTCTGGCTGCCCGCAGTATACAGCAAGTGAGAGCAATTACCCATCCCCAAATCCTGGAAAGCGATCTACCGTTACCTGATATATTCACTGAGCATTGCAGAACGGTAGGAGAGGGAGGAATGTGAAAGTTAAGGCAGGGGAGGGAGAGTTTGTTTATACTTGTTATTGTTCGACCGAATACAATTGTAACAACTGCAAAGTGTAAATTGTATGTGCACATTCCTTACATTACCTTCCATATACTGCACGAAGGAAGAACAGAAATGGCGTGCAGCACATGAATCCTACATACCGTAGGGCCGTGTTTTCATGTGCTGTGCATAGACCTCTAGACGTGAACTAATCCAGGAACCCGTGGCTGATCTAGGATACTATGCACTAATTACCACTAACGAGGGGCTCCTTATGGCTCGATGTTATCAGTGATTAGAGATGTTTTATTTTTTATAAATGCGGAAATTGTTTTAATTAAGGAATTAATAAAAAAGTTGGGTCGTTTTTGGTCGACACCAAACAATCGTATATCACTACAAAAACGCCAGGTTTGGTGCTTGTATCCAGCACGAATTGCACTTATTTACCAAACTACGATGAACCGAGCTGAAAAAATAGCAAAACTAGTAAATATATTCACTTTGAGTATTTTGGCCTCAAATTGTCAATTTCTACAATTCTTAGTTTAGTGTAAAAAAAATTGAACAATTACTGCGAATTACCTAGAAATGAATGTTATATATATATATAAAAAGTGCTTCCCTGCAGTGTGTGCAATATTGAGCAGCATATGAATTCTCCATACAGCAGCCCTTCTCAGGTATTTCTCCAATGGGACCTGGGACCAGGGAAGCAGTATGGTTTGACCCCCAATGACCTTAAACTATAAATATTTCAAGATAAAAAGGCTGGATGAAATTTGTTCCAGTTTAAACTGAAGAAAAATAATATTTGGGCGATTGATGGACTTCAAGACACCCTCTCATCTCTCCGTTACCATGGTTTCCACATATTATAATATGTCCCAATTAAGGCTGAGTGTTCTGGTACAGAATCTTTATATATCGCGGTGTTCTCAGACCTCAGCAGCTGGCGATGCTGTACAGCAAAATGCGTGCGGATAAATTTAACCCAGATCTGAAGAATCCGAGGAGTATTTTTGGATGGGAACAAACCTGTGTGGGCGGCTTTTCCTGAAATGTTTGAAAATAACGATCTGCTTTTATAAAACTGCGGCCACGCGCAGTGCTGGGGGGATTAGTCCGGTGCAATCATCCTGCAGAGATTCACGTTGTAAAGTATGGAATTAAACGGGGACTGACCGGAGACAGGTCTTTATGGGAGAGGCTTGACTCCAGCCAAATGGGGTCACTGACTATTTATAAAATTGGCGTTTACTTTTTAAATAAGGTACAAAAAAATAAATAAACCATTAAGATGCCCTGAGTATCAAGGACTGGGTATCCTTGTTGGACACGTGGCAATACTCGCTCTCTTCCTGTCTATGTCTATATTCTTATTTATAGGAAAATTGATGTTAAATGAGATTTATGGAAAGTTCAGAATGTGATGAGCAGTGAAATCTGGTGACAAGGCTGTGGAGTCTGTGCCATGTGGGGGTAGGGGGGGTGCTCTGCCATGTGTGAGTGGGGGGGGTTCTCTGCCATGTGTGAGTGGGGGGTGAGGGGTTTCTCTGCCATGTGCGAGTGGGGAGAGAAGGTTTCTCTGCCAAGTGCAAGTGGGGAGGGGGTTTCTTTGCCAAGTGTGAGTGGAGAGGCGGTTTCTCTGGGGGGAAAAGGTTTTACTGCCATGTACAGGTGGGGGGAGGATTTTCTGCCATATACAGGGGGGTTTCAATGCCATGTACAGGTGGGAAGGGGGTTCTCTGCCATGTACAGTGGGGGGCGTTATCTGCCATGCACAGGTGGGGGGGTTCTCTGCCAAGTACAGGTAGGGAGGGGTTTCAATGCCAAGTACGGGGGGATCTCTGCCATGTACAGGTGTGGGGGGTATTCTCTGCCATGTACCCAGGGGGGTGGGCTACCCGCCATGCTGGAGTGTGGGGGTTCCTCTGGCTTTACTTGGGGGTGTTCTCTGCCATGTACTTGTACTTGGGGTGGGCGGGGGTTATCTGCCTGTATGGGTGGGGGTTCTCTGCATTTTTGGGGGTGGGGGGATTAACTCTACCATGTACAGGGGGGTGCTCTCACCTGCTACCATGTACTTGGGGTGGTGAGGGGGTTCTCTGCCATGTACAGAGGGGTGGGGGATTATGCTGCCATGTACAGGGGTGGGGGATTATCTGCCATGTACGGGGGTTGGAGATTATCTGCCATGTACGGGTGGGTGTTCTCTGCCATGTATTTGGGGGTTCTCTGCCATGTACAGGGGTGGGGGATTATCTACTTGGGTGGGGTTATCTGCCATGTACAGGTGTTCTCTGCTACGTGTACAGGGGTGGAGGAGGGTTCTCTGCTTATGTGTACAGGTGGGTTAGATGGCCATGTCACGGGGTGGGGGATTATCTGCCATGTACAGGTGGGGGTTCCCTGCCATGTATGGGGGTGGGGGTTCTCCGCCATGTACAGGAGGGGGTTCTATGTAGAATGGTGATATATCACACTGTATAAGGCTGAATGGCAATATCACATATAATTGATTTTGATTCTTATAGGAAGGAACCCATAGAATGTTTATTGTGTCCGGAGGTCACGTGATACTTTGTATCCAATCACATTGCAATATTGATAGAACATGCAGGTAACCTGAGGCCTTTTGGTCAATAAATATTTTATTATCCTGTGCGGCTCCAGGAACTGCTCTCAGTGTTTCATTCAGTCTGGGAGAGTAATATCACTTCCTTTTAACCATTTCACCATAATAACTGTAAAAAATAAAGTGACTCTGAGCAACACCTGTGTGCAAGAACAGCACTGCCTTGATGGTTAACCCATTCATGACAAGGGGGGTCATTTCCCAAGCTCTGAACTGAATGACAATATGCAGCAGATTTGGAGTTTTTCTGGATTGGCTATTTTATATTAAATGTTGCCGTTTGATTCACTACAATTCAGAGTTCCAGGAACAAATCCCGAGGACTCTGGCAATTCCCATTATATATCATCAGTTTTGGCGTTTTAATTTGGTAGCTTCCTGTGCTTGATAAATTGCGCAGGCCAAAGCGGTGAGCGAGCATAAACAAAGCGCTGTCCTTAATCTGACTTGATGGGATTCAGTAATGGAATGGTTATAGAGAGAGTGTAGCGGAGAGACAGCCAATCACAGGGGACTGGGAGATTAACTGCCGGTGCTGAACGAGCCATGACTCACCCAGGGCATAACCTCTTAAAGGTGTAATCGTCCTATCCTTCTAACAAGACTTGAACGTTCACTCTCCCCCTCGATCCAACACAGCTTTCTATTTTCTGAAGGATGCTTCCTTAGTGTGGATACACATGGATTTTCTTTCATTACCGGGGAAACAACTTGCAAGGGAGATACAGGGAAAGATTATTAGGGTTTAATAACGATTCATTTAAAGCTCTCTATGTATTTACACTGTTTGCTTGCTGGAAACTGAATTTTTGATGGATTTGGACCATCCGTCATTTTATAAAAATATATTTGGGCTGATGAATACTACAGCCATTACAGCATAAGGCTATCCTAACTATAAGATAAGGCTAGGGACTAATGAAAGTATTTAGAAAATTGGGCAGACTAGATGGGCCGAATGGTTCTTATCTGCCGTCACATTCTATGTTTCTATTACGGCTGCCACAGAGTAGTGGGAGTTGGAGTGCAAAGCTTTATTTGCTTATCGACCTGCTAACCTCCCCATGGCCTGTAGCTTTCTACCAAGCCGCGCATTCAGCTTTGTATCAGACGAATTATTTGGGTAGGTCTGGGCTGGCTTTCTTATATATAAAGTACAAAGCCCTAGTGCTTCTAGTCTCAATGTTTTTATTGCTGCTATACAGTCTGAGTGCTTCCAGGGACACTCAAAGCATCCAAACCACTTCTTCTTAATTTGAGAAACGGCAGTGTTTACATGTTCGATTCACTTCTCCAGCGACTGTCAGACTGTAGACCTTCAAAAATGGTTCAGCTTCTAAATGTCCTTTTGCCCAGCATGATGATGTCTGACATGGTTAATGGTTGGATTCAGTGAGAAGAATCCAGTTGGGGGAGCACAGTAATCGCAGTGTCTGCACCCTCTCTACCTAATGCTTCTTTATGAGAAGTATTGGACTGGACTGTCACGGAGTAAGAAGCTGCACCATGAGGACGGACTGCGATGAAGATGATATTTATGGCCATATTTAACATTTATTTTTAAACAAAAGTCTGAGGTGGGCAGGAATCTAAACACCAACCAATCCTCTAACGTTACAAATAAATGTTTTTGGGATTTGTGTTGCTCTTGCTGGTCGAACTGTTCTGTTTTCACATATACAGATGTTCCCGTTGCCATAAATAAATTATAATGTTTTGGCTATTGTACGTATTGGAGCAGCATGTAGTGGTTGTTCACCGAGTACACTGTTAATACATTCCATGTAACGTAATTCCCGGCTTAGAAACGACTGACGGCTCTGTGCGACCCACCAAACCTCTAATCAGAGCTGACATTTCTCTCGAGTGGAAGTTATTTGTGTCCTCAATCTCAGGGACACTTCTAAGGAAATTCACATTTCTTTCCATAAACCAGCTGTTTCCCTCTGACCCACGGCCACCAACATCCCTTTCTAGCGTCTCCATGGGACGTGACTGTCCTGGTGCCGAGTCTATTTCAAAGCTACGTTTACTCCTGTCCATTAATCAGGCAAATAAACTAGCTGCCCTGATAATGTAGCATTTCCATCATGACCCAACAAAGACTGTATCTGTAGCTTCAGGCAGGGGATTATCTGTTTACTCTTGATGGGGGTTTATTTAAAATACGGTGAATGTGTCCCATTCACTACTTATATGCTGAGTGCGACAATGGAGGAGCCTAGCCAATCAGAGTTTAGCTTTGGTACAGAGAATTTAAATGGCATTTGATTTGATTTTAGCTTCATGTCCATTCTGTGTTTCGGTATAACCCACCCACTCGACCTTTTAGGACACAATTCAGCTACACGATCACAAAATGAGACTATACGGTCTGAGACCAAGATGGCTACTTTCTGGCACTCCACTTGTCATGCACTACATATCGTAGGACTCCCTTGGAATGATGGGAAGTGTAGTCGTCTAGAGATGAACCAAGGTTTTCCATTCAATGAGCCAAAAAGATATCCTTAGAAATTGTGATCCAGATTATTTTGCTGATGGTTTAAGCCCTACACATAAATATAATAATTAAACATGAATAAATGGCATTAGATGAAATCTCTAATGAGCTGAAATAACAGCCTGTCCTGTTGGTGAATGACCTTTATTTCTCTAAACAAGCTGAGATTGTGCCTGCTTTACCCTCGTTAATGTGCCTGTTAGCCAGCACGGGCAGTCACAGGGTTAATTAGAGACGTGTTCTCCAGTGTTTGCTCAAGGCTGACGAAGACGAAAGAATGAGGGAAGAATGACTGGGTAAAGCACACACGTCACACCAAGGACAAGTCCATGGAGAATAATGGCAGTTTGAGATGGCCTCGATATGACGCATGAGGATAAATTAATCCTAACCCCGGATTATTACCCGAGAATGCTCACATGGGTATAATGATATAGACCTGTCCAGCTCTGCTGAAATCATTTACTATAGGCACTCTTTTTAGCAGAGGGTTATGGGACTTGTAGGCCAACAACTGCTGGTGCAGGATGTGCCGCAGTTGGACAGCCTTCTCATAGAGTAACAGACAAAAAGCTGATACATTTTTTTTAGAATCCTTCGACACCCTACATCTAGCTGGTTCTCTTAATGTATACTAGTCCCAATGTTGACAGTCTTTGAGAAGGTCCAAAATCAATCCTGTCTTTGGCAGCAAAAACTTCCGGCAGCAAGTATTGACAGGCCTGTGTTACTGGGTTCACTTATTATTATTTAAAAAGCGCCAACGCATTCTGCAGCAAAGTACAAAAAGTTCACAAAATATCCAGTACATCAGATAATCATGGTTCATTTCCTTGTGTTATCTGGATGATTTTGGTACTATGTAAAAATTAATCAGTGTTTAAGAAAGGTATCAGGATGATGTCTGAAGAATGTTCACTAATAGTAAATTGAAAAAGAAAAATTTAATTTCACTTCACAATAGCCAAATTAAAAAAAAATCCATTGTTTGTTTCCCAGTTGGTTACTTTGAGCTAAGTTTAGCAAACCTTTTTAAACAGTTTTCTTTTTCGATTCCATTAGGGGTTATCTCTCTCCTCTGTAGTATACCTTTGTGAGCCGGACTTTATGCGTTTCCTCCTTTTTAAACAGTACTTGTAATTTTGACTCCGTTCCCCATTTTTACACAGACCCGCTTTCACAGAATAAAACCAGAACGGGGACAGTATTGTCACCGTGTGACTAACTCCCCTGCGAATGCCATTCCTGCGCCACAGGACATACATTTAGAAACCAGATTACTTTATTAATATAACTTTAATGGCTAAATATTGAATAAACCAGCCTAGCCCCAGGCTCCTCCTTTCATTCTGTGCCTTCTATAGAACATTAAGCTCTCACTCTTGGCCTGTTTTTCCTCCTCTTTAAATCCTCCGAGGAATGTTCTTTATAGACACAGGCATCATGCTGAGTGCTAACTCTTGCTGGTCCAGAGAGTGTTCAGGAGGATGCGGTGAGCAGTAAGCCTGTTACCTAGCAACAGTAGCATCTCTCCTGCCTAGCAACCAGAGCATCGCTCTGTGCATGTCCCTAGTTCAGGCTAATTCTGTGTACAAGTTGCAGAATATAATGGAACTATGCAGCAGCAACAAAATCTTTATTGCAAACACCACAATATTTTATTTCAATAATTGCAATTATCTAACAAAAACATTATAAAGTGGCTGCCTAACCATGAGGCCGGTTACAGGCACTCCCCATGTTAGGGTGCTTCCGCATTGCAAGGAGAATGAGCTAGCCTGACTGGCTACAAATCTATAAAACACGTATGATGGTCATCTGACTTAAACGTCCCGCCATGTTGGCCGACACGTAACATGTTTTGGATATTTCCACCGCTTTCCATAACGGCGTACCATTATCTCGTTTTTACAGTCTATCGTAAAAAGAAAAGCATTTACGTATGAAGTGTGGGAAGAATCCAGTACAGGCAGGTTGCAGTGAGGGGGTACTCGTGTGTCCCTATAATATTTTTGACAATATAAAGCTACTGATTTAATAAAATAAAGCATGATATTTATCAATGTCTTGGCTGCTGGCTTTGCTGTCTACAAATAGGTCTGGCATCAGGAAGCAGAGTGATCGATCGCTCCATCTCCCAAAAGATTTGGCAGCAGCTAAGAGTATTATCTTCCCAGGCTGTGATGGGGGAGCTTGTCTGTGACTGCTGGGGGGTGGTGAGGGGGGTAGTGATACCCCAAAATACATTGAGATGTGTTGGAATCAGCACTCTGACGTGGGGTAAATTACATGAAAAATTAACCTTTTACAATAGAACAGGCAGGGTTAAACCCCGTGCACCGGGGAAAGTGTGGGTTTATTCACTAATTAGACTGCACTGAATTATAAAACAAGTTCTGTAAACCACCCACAGTGGGAACGTGAGGAGGGTCGAGTAGCATGGGGATTGCTCAGGAATCCATTTCCAAACGATTTTCCAGATGAATTAAAAGGCCCACTGGCAGGCCCACACTGTAAAAAGAAAATTGAACAAAAACAAGAGGTTTTAGGGGTTAATAGAATGATCTTTAAATGTGGGGCCCCCAGAAGCCAATATTATTAGCATGTAGGTGGGTCACGACTAATGTAATTGTGTGGGTGTCCCCTTTTGCTATCCCTCTTTCTCCACCCTATAGGCCATAGAGGGAGAAAATGTGTCTACTTCTTTTTAGATCCAGGGTCATGAGGATGCCAATTGCCAAGGGGAAATAACACTCCTACGTATTTGCCCCTCCCACCTGTCACTGTGGATTCGCAGGTCCCCCCATGGCTTAGCCGTCACTCCACAAACATGCACACCTTGACGGATTGGAATTATTAATGATGTCTCCATTTATGTTAGATTTCTCACACTGTGTTTCATGTGTGAGAATTCAGGATATCAGGAACCCCTGGAAGCCACGTCTCACAGTGTGTAATATTTTATTAGGAGCAGCATTCATGGTATATAAATCATTTACAGAGAGAAGGATAATTAGTGATTCATTACCAGGTGGGACACTGTCAATGGCCTTTATTTGCTTTGAATCTATTTAATTCCGTGAGGAGATAAGGATTCTAAATTATTCAGCTACAGACTTTCCATTGTAGACAGACAGAGAGCGAGGAATGGATGGATGGGTGGGGCACTTCCAAATCATCTGTTATAGCCTAGATTTTCCCACTTTGGATTTCCCCTAAATTTTCCTCCTTTTGGGTTTGGTGAGCGGGACTCCAGCTCCCCACCATGCGCAATGGAGCTCTGCTGGTTTGGGTGAATGCAGAACTTGATCTGCTTGTCTAAATACATGTTTATGAGTGGTTAGTTATGAATAATCCTTTTCCCAATGCCCAGCAAAAGGTAACGGAGAGCCTGATTTTGCCAATCAGATCTGGATTCCATTCAGTGTTTTGTGAATTGATGGATTGCCAGTTCAATTGCCGCAGTTACGGTTTGCGAAAACAAGGGGGCATATTCAGCACTTTTTAAATAATGACACCAGGCACACCCAGCATACATGCCATGCCCACCTTCCAGGAGGGTACATGCAGTTGGCAGCTCAAGCAGATCACACTCTATACATGGTCCTGGTGCCCAGTCCCTTTCTGCATTTTAAAATCAGCTTTCTAAATGTGGGACTGGTCCCCAGGATCAATTTTTGATGGGACTGTACCCGAAAATGCGGACAAATGGCATCTATGACACAGACAGACACATATATGTAGGCACACTTACACACAATGATGCGCATACAGACACATATACTGACACACACAAACAGACACATATACAGACACACACGCAGACGCACGGGCAGGAACACACATGCACACATGTAGTAATGCACATACTGTTATACACTGACACAGACAAACACACCTGTCGCAATATGATGCAATATAGATTAAAAGAAGTAAAATGGGTTAATGTCACCAGAGTGCAGTGAACACTCTCATACGTTGGAATGTTTGACCTAAATAGATTTTATTGCAATATTTTTTCTATTTGATATAAACCTTTACTCCAAACATACATGTTAAAACATGTATTTGTTGATGGAGGAACCCAGTGAATCAGCTGTTTGATGGCTGTATTGCTCTGTTCCATGCGCAGGAGCTCAGGCAGAGACAGATGCAATGTACATAGAGTTTAATCCTGAGCTTAATCTCCCCATATCACCGGAACACTCCCAATAATCTGTTTATATTGTAATCTAACGCTTACCATAGCTCTAATCTGCTGTCTTTAGAACACTACCTCCAGCATCAACAACAAAAAAGACAATACCTCCCAAGTGGCCCTGTTTAGCAGCATCAGTGCCTCTCTAATGTGTCGTTAAATTACAATAAACGTAGGAATTAGTCTGTGTAAATAAGATACAATGTCCTTTGTGACGGTAGTAGTCAATATCACCGTCTAGATTTCCTTTTCCCAATAGCAGAGTAATCCCAATAATCCACGAGAAGAAATTTCGCTGTAATCGCCAAATAATCCACACATGAGCCAAGGCTTAATGCTGGAACAAGTCTGATTTACTGGCACACAGAACTCACAATTTATGCAACACAAAACTCCTCCTCTGGGCCAGGCTAGATAATTGAAAAGAAAAGTACTTTTTATATTACATACAAACATAATTTTAAAATCCCTGGGTAGCTGATGGTCTGGGAGTTTAAGATGGCCGCCATCCATTGTTCTTCGCCACGTGTTCGGCTCCCGAAATGGCGGCCACCCGGGAACTCTCAATTACTTGCGGTTACACACGATTCTATGTTCTAATTGCTACCCAGGGTGGTCCTTGTTTGGTAAAATAGCGATTTTACCGAACAAGGGATTTGAACGTACAGAAAATAACGAATGCACCAGTAATACAGGTAATAAATCTCACGAATACAACAGCAGGGAGAGAAAATAAAAATGAATTGAGGGTGATTCTTCACATCCTTGTTCTAGATTATGTTTCTAGTTATGTAAATGTGTATCCATAGGTTACAATGTCTATGAAAATATTAAAGCCTCAGCCATGGCCATACCCCCAGCCATACTCTTGTCATTAAAAGGTCCCTTTCTGACCATGTACCACGAATATCTTATAAATAAGAGAAATATGATTTGGAAAACAGATATGCAAAGAATCCTAGGTCCATGTGTTCCCATTCATTGACCATGGAATCTGCAGTCCAGGCTAAAAAACACAAAGTTTTAAAAGTTAAAAGCTAAAGTACTTTTATGCAGCTAAGTATAGTTCTCTGTTTAGTGAGGCCCGTTTACTCACCCATCTTCACACACTTTCTGCATTGAGATTTTTGGTAATTTGGTTCGTATCGGATTGCCATCTGCTGTTTACACTCCAGGGATTTGTTTAGGAGAAATTGCTGGCTCCTTCTGTCTGTGTGTGCGGTACCTACAGGATCCAACAGATTGTCAGGGAGCAGGGGAACGAGAGAGTCTGCCTACACAACTAGTGCGTAAGCATCACCATCATTATCAGCCATGCTTTGTACCAATAAATTGTCATCTAGTGCGTGATCTGCAACACAAAATATCATTACCAGCCTTGCTATGAATGGATTAATAGTCTTCCTCTAGAACTGGGGTAGGCAACCTTTGGCACTCCAGATGTTGCAAACTACATCTACCATGATGCTTTGCCAGCATTATGGCTGTAAGAGCATTATGGTAGATGTAGTCCAAAACATCTAGAGAACCGAAGGTTGCCTATCCCTGCTCTAGAACATGATATGGGAGATTGTTATAATTGTGAGCTGTAACGGACCGTTTTGCAAACAAGAGGTTAAAAACCGTTTAGGTGATATTCCCCTTTTAGATGCACAGGCAGCTACTGCAAGCACCAATCTCCCGAACTGCAAACTACACGAATGCTCCAACTCCCGAACAGGAAACACACGAACACTGGAAACAGCCGAACAGGAAAAACATACAATCAGCTTACTGTGGCTACCTGCCCAGCTTTTATGCAGGTCTTCCACCAGGTGGACACTACCCTAGGGGACCAGATGGGAAACTGGGAAACATATTGGACATTGACCAATCACAAGCTTACAATCCCACAATGCATCACAATCCCTCCTCTCTGTCCTGGAGATAATTGGGAAGTAATCCAATTATCTTCAAGGACAGAGGCAAAACTCCATTAACCACATGGCAGACAAAGGACAATAAAAGACATTAAAATATCCAATATTACACTTACTACACAAAACATATACATTCTACCTATCCCCAGATAGCTTAGATCTGAGCGCACATCACTAACAAATGGCACCCAGATCACATACATACAGTTCAATCACCATGGAGCCAAAGTCTTTCCCATAGTCTTTCGTTACACAAATAGGCTCCATGGCATGGCTATCTGGGGTGATGCTGTTCATATGGTTAAACTACCGAATGAACAGGCATTCGGTTACACTACCGAATGCAGAGGTAAGGAGGCTGGCGGCTCAGTGGTGTTTGTGCAAATAAATGTCCGTTTCCAGTTCCATAGTTTGGGCGCTCAACACCGCTGGCCGTTCGGGAGTTAAAATGGCCTCTGCCACGTGTTCGGCAAACAAACAAAGGCCGCCCAGTGTTCTTCAATTGAGCTGCGGTTAACCGCAGCTTCTGGGCGGTCAATTGATGGCACACTCCAGTTCCCAGGTGGTCGATCGATCGGTACTTTGTTCAGTAGATTGAATCTACCGAAAACACCCCGGCAGAAAGGCACAAATAAGCCTTTCTGCAGGGAAAATAAAAGGTTTTAAATGCCTGGCCGTAGTCTAAAGGGAGCAGGCGAGCAACCAGGCTCCTCCAGTGGACAGTGGCGAGGCTGGTTCCGCTACATGAGCCTTACTCTTTATGGATCCATTGTCTTCCTCTGGAATGTAATCTGAGAGATTGCTATAAAGGTCAGCCTTGCTCTGGATAAATCCATAGTCTTCCTCTAGAACGTAATCTGAGAGATTGTTATAATGGCCAGCCTTGCTCGGGTTAGATCTGTACTCTTCCTGTAAAACGTAATCTGAGAGATTGTTATAATGGTCAGCCTTGCTCGGGATAGATCCGTACTCTTCCTCTGGAATGTAATCTGAGAGATTGTTATAATGGTCAGCCTTGCTCTGGATGGACCAATAATCTTCCTCTAAAACGTAATCTGAGAGATTGTTATAATGGTCAGCCTTGTTCGGGATAGATCCGTACTCTTCCTGTAGAACGTAATCTAAGATATTGTTATAATGGTCAGCCTTGCTCGGGATAGAGCCGTACTCTTCCTGTAGAACGTAATCTAAGATATTGTTATAATGGTCAGCCTTGCTCGGGATAGAAGATCCGTAGTCTTCCTCTGGAATGTAATCTAAGAGATTGTTATAATGGTCAACCTTGCTCGAGATGGATCAATACTCTTACTCTAGAATGTGATATGAGAGATTGTTATAATGGTCAGCCTTGTTCGGGATGGATCACTATTTGTGTGTGTCAGGGTGCACGTGTGTTTGTATAGGTCAGTGTATGCGTGTGTGTATGTGTCAGTGTGTATCTATGTGTGTGTGTATATGTTGATGTCTATATGAATTTGTGTGTATGTAAATCTGTGTAAGTATGTATGTATGTGGTAATGTATGTGCATACATCCAAGCAGTCATACACCAGCACAACATACAAACACACTCCTGAAATCTAACACAAATATTACATACAAAACACATTCCTGCATTCAAACTCCAAAAGGATACACAACACCCCTTCACTCAAACACACATACTTCACACAAAAGTACACACACATTTAAAAGAGAACATTACATTTAGACAAACCCTGCAATCAAACATCACATACAAACACACCCCTGTATAAAAACACAATAACTATATACAAAGCACCCCTTCAAACACCAACACTGTACATTACAGTATAGCGCCAGTAAATGCCGCAGCGCTGTACAGATATACAATCTAGAAATTTTGACTTGGGGCGGCTTGGAAAAATATTGAAATATTAAGGGCGCCTTGAACCTAAAAAGTTTGGGAACCACTGGGCTAGAGGAAGCTGCTAGCCCATGCACAAATGTTGCTGTACAGCTAAACACTACATACTGCCTGACCAAGCCTGCATCTGCACAGCAAGCGATCCTTCACACCATTAATAATAAATGGGCAAGCTCTCTGCGTCTCACCTCTTCCTCGCCATTCTGGAATCTATAAAGTAAATCAATAAAATGGGTTAAGTATAGGGAAACTCACTGGAATCGGTCATAGTTGCCCTTGGCCTTGTGAAGCTTGGTCCTGCACTTTGTGTATTACGTAGTTACATAGCTGAAAAGAGACTTGCGCCCATCAAGTTCAGCCTTCCTCACATATGTTTTTGCTGTTGATCCAAAAGAAGGCAAAAAAACCTAGTCTGAAGCGCTTCCAATTTTGCCACAAACTAGGAAATAATTCCTTCTTGACCCCAAAATAGCAGTCAGATGTCTACTTGGATCAAGCAGCTATTACCCCACTAATTGGAAATGATATCCCTGTATGTTATGTTTTTGTAAGTATTTATCCAATTGCAGTTTAAACATCTGTATGGACTCTGACAAAACCACCTCTTCATGCAGAGAATTCCATATCCTTATTGTTCTTACTGTAAAAAAACCTTTTCTTTGCCTTAGATGAAATCTCCTTTCTTCCAGCCTAAATGTGTGACCTCGTGTCCTATGTATAGCCCTGTTTATGAATAGATTTCCAGATAAAGGTTATGTATATTTGTATAAAGTTATCATATCCCCTCTCAGGCGCTGTTTTTCCAAACTAAACAGATTTAATTTTTTAACCTTTCTTCATAACTAAAATGCTCCATTCCTTTTATCAACGTTGTAGCTCATCTCTGGACTTTTTCTAGTGCCATGATATCTTTCTTTAGAACAGGTGCCCAAAATTGTATTCATTCACACAAACTGCAGAGCAACTAAATGCAAAGACTGCGGAGCAACTAAACACACACAGACTGCAGAGCAACTAAACACACATAGACTGCAGAGCAGCTAAACACACAGACTGCAGAGCAGCTAAACACACAGACTGCAGAGCTACTAAACACACAGACTGCGGAGCAACTAAACACAGACTGCGGAGCAACTAAACACAGACTGCAGAGCTACTAAACACACAGACCGCAGAGCTACTAAACACACAGACTGCAGAGCAACTAAACACACAGACCGCAGAGCTACTAAACACACAGACTGCAGAGCAACTAAACACACAGAATGCGGAGTAACTAAACACACAGACTGCAGAGCAACTAAACACAGACTGCGGAGCAACTAAATGCACAAACTCACAAAATTAAGTCCTGCACTCAAACTCCCATCACTCCTGGGCGGCAGCAATGACCATAGCACACTTCAGCCCCAATACATACAATAAACCCAAAGAAAAAAGTTACCTGCGCTCTTCCCAAATCCCTACGCATATTTATACAAATGGAGGTTATTTAGTTTCTCCAATGGCCACTAGATGGCGTTCACCTGCCCCTCTCAGGTGGGTCCTACACTGACTATTCACCTTGCTCCATTGAGCTTCTGGCAACGAGATCTCTAAAGAGACAGAGAGGGGTATTTTTCTAAACCCCTACATACTTATTAACCCTTAATAGGGAACACATGGGGTCTGCGGCAGCATTGTAACCTAGCTTTGTGATTCAAAAGGTAAATCCAAATACACAAAAATATATTTGTATTCACTTTTGTATCACACAGCCATGTAATAATCACACTGTAATATTGTAATAATCACACTGTAATATTGTAATAATCACACACGGATACCGTAATCGTTACGCACTGATATTGTAATAATCACACACTGATATTGTAATAATCACACACTGTAATATTGTAATAATCACACACTGATACTGTAATAATCACACTGTAATATTGTAATAATCACACTGTAATATTGTAATAATCGCACAGTGATACAGTAATCGTTACGCACTGATATTGTAATAATCACACACTGATACCGTAATCGTTACGCACTGATATTGTAATAATCACACACTGATATTGTAATAATCACACACTGTAATATTGTAATAATCACACACTGATACTGTAATAATCACACTGTAATATTGTAATAATCACACTGTAATATTGTAATAATCGCACAATGATACAGTAATCGTTACGCACTGATATTGTAATAATCACACACTGATACCGTAATCGTTACGCACTGATATTGTAATAATCACCCAGTGATACCGTAAACGTTACGCACTGATATTGTAATAATCACACACTGATATTGTAATAATCGCACAGTGATACCGTTATCTGTTGGCCAGTGATAATTAATGTGTTGTCACTTTCTCTTTCCGCAGTGCAAGATGGAGTGTAAGGATATCTCGGCTGATATACTATATGATGTTCTCCACGATGTAGAATATCGGAAGAAATGGGACAGTAATGTTATTGAGACCTTTGATATTGGGAAACTGACAGTCAACGCAGACATTGGATACTATGCATGTAAGTCTAGATTTCAGGGGAAGGAGCATAGAATTTATTGAGTATTACGTGTAAAAATAAAATGCGCTAAATATAGGGAAACTCGTGTCGTTCCACTGGAATCGGTCATAGTCGCCATTGGCCTTGCGAAGCTTGGTCCTGAACTTTGTGTATTCATTCACACAGACTGTAATCGTTACGCAGTGATAGTGTAATAATCGCACAGTGATACTGTAATAATCACACAGTAATATTGTAATAATCGCACAGTGATACTGTAATAATCACACAGTGATATTGTAATAATCACGCAGTGATATTGTAATCGTTACGCAGTGATAGTGTAATAATCACACTGTAATATTGTAATAATCAAATATTTTATCTTATTTTATTTTATCTTATTTACATAGGCTGATTTCTAAACACATTTATTGTAGTTTAAGGACACATTACTGGGAGTATTATTGCTGTGGAGCTCTGTTATACACTCAGACACATTACTGGGAGTATTATTGCTGTGGAGCTCTGTTATACACTCAGACACATTACTGGGAGTATTATTGCTGTGGAGCTCAGATATACACTCAGACACATTACTGGGAGTATTATTGCTGTGGAGCTCTGTTAGACACTCAGGCACATTACTGGGAGTATTATACTGTGATATACACTCAGTCACATTACTGGGAGTATTATTGCTGTGTAGCTCTGTTATACACTCAGACACATTACTGGGAGTATTATTACTGTGGAGCTCAGATATACACTCAGACACATTACTGGGAGTATTCTGGTACTTTGTTAGAATTCTGAGAAGAATAATTATTTTCCCGTGTTAAAGCCGTGACTCACAGATTGTATTTCTACGATAGGGAGCAACTTCTAAAACATTTTGCAGGGAATTTCAGAAAGAATATTAAAAAACAACAACATGCAAATGACTTTGTAAAGTTTTCATTTTCTAAACATCGTCTACGAGTATTTTATTTTTTATTTCTGTTGTTACGAACATCACGCTACAAACAGCATCGGAATTATTCAAACTGGGAATATTCTCCGTCAGATAGACTTTCAGCTCGAGTACTCTGGCCTTAAATCTGAAATCCACTTTGCATTCTCACTTTAGTAAATATCTCTGTAAGACTGGTAGAGCAGGGTTTACTAATAGGATCTGATTTTAATTGAAGAGAGAACCTTGTCACAGTTTGTATTCAGGGCCAGTCTGGGTTCCAATCCGCTGTTCTATGTGACCGTTGTTCCCCATTTATTTAGATGAAGTCTATTTGCAAAGCCAATGTTTAATTTATTTGTTTGATTACTTTTATTTTAATTATTTATTTGCAGTGATTCATGCAAAGTGGTTTCTGGTGTCAAGTTCACTTTAAATGAACTCCCTGTCCAAACCGAGCTGAGTCCTCCTCCCATCCGCTAATTGGATTTATAACACGATGGCTTTCATGCTCCTGCACCCAAATCTAGCTGCTCCAAGAATTCATTATATCATTTCTATTTATAGATCAAAATACTTTTTTGTTTTAAATGTCTTATTTTACATTTGTCCAACTTCTAAGGGATTCACTGCAAACAAATAGAAAAACAATCATTCATTCAGAAAGAAACATGATACTTGGTTTATAGCAGCAGCCAGGATGCTTTTATTAACTGGTTTAGCCTCATTCATGGTTTTTCATGAATGAAAGTACTCATAGGCATTCACGCATTTTCTGTTGTAGAAAGCTATTGACAATTATCCTACACTGTGAGTTTTATCAATATTTAACCCCTTATGGACCAAACTTCTGGAATAAAAGGGAATCATGACATGTCACACATGTCATGTGTCCTTAAGGGGTTAAACCTAATTAAACCAAAACACATTATTCAACAGAAACTATTCTTTATGCATCAGCATGTCACATCTTTCTCTCCCCAGGGAAATGCCCTAAACCGTTAAAGAACCGTGATGTCATCACTCTACGCTCCTGGCTGCCAATGGGAAACGATTATATCATCATGAATTATTCTGTTAAACATGCGGTGAGTTCCATCATGAATTATTCTGAGCGTGCGCTGAGTTCCCTTGGCTGCTAGGCTACGATGTTACTGTGATATTTATCCTGGGTATCCGGACAAGCTTTGGGAAGGAGACGGTAAATCACTGCCTGTCACCAGCTCTCTCAGCTCTCTGCCTGTCCGCCGTGACAGATCCAGGTGAAGATAGATGTTTAAAATCAGCTCAAATGTTTCCGCCTGAATACATCATACACAGTTCCTCTTGCTAATATTGGCACCCTCAGTAAATAGCTTCCTAGTCACCCAGGTGTTTGAATTATTATTGTTAATCAGAATATACTGATTATTATTGGTATTTATATAGCGCCAACTTATTCTTCAGCACTTTATAATATTATAAAAGGAGAAATTTAACAAAATGTTACAGTAACCACAGGACCCTGTATGAGCTTACTGCAAATCTATTTTTGTCATATGAATTGATAGAGGTGCCGATAATTGTGCCACACATACATTTAGCAAAGATTTCTTTGGGGATAAACTATGTGTTGCTTTTGCAATTGTTTGCTATCCATGAGAGCAGATTAGTTTTGTGTATTTTTTAATAAAAGATCAATAAAGACAATTTGTCCGAGCCATTTTGCTCATATTTACCAAGAGTGCCAATATTGGTGGATGACGATGTATATCTAAACCAGGTCATTTTGTGTGTGTACATCAATGTCCCTGCCCCTGGTGCTGCTGATTATAAAGAGTCTACTTAACTCAACTTGTGTATTTGGTTTTAAAAAAAAATTGTGTTTCGTCCCAATTTTGGGTGATCAGTGATTTGTCCGAAAAGGACAATGCACAAAACTGTTTCATTTCTGACTTGGAGTTCTGTCTGTAACACTTGTAAAAACAAGATGATTGATGGATGGGGACAGCCGCTAAGTGTGGATTTAATTCACAGATGAAGTGAGAAGTGATAAATAGAGTGCAAAAATAAATCTATATTTAAGGAAAATATAATCTATAAATATACACTGTTTGCTCTCACTACGATATGATGGCAGGAGGATGTTGGGCTGTTACACAGAGCGCAAAGTCAGCTTTAAATCAATATTTCATGATTTCTCCTGCTTCCCTCCTAAGTTCCCATCCTGCGTTCCGTCTGCATAGCGTCATATAGAGTGTGAGGAATAGTGCAAAAAAATGATTGTTTCCCTTATATTTTTTAGGCTCAGTGGGATTATTTCCTGCTGCAGCTCCATTAGCCCCTAGGACGGTTAATCCATTCCTGCGATTGTGTGTGCCTGTCTGTCTGTGTGTATATTGTGTGTGCATGTCTGTCTGTGTGTGCATGTCTGTCTGTGTGTATATTGTGTGTGCGTGTCTGTCTGTGTGTATATTGTGTGTGCGTGTCTGTCTGTGTGTATATTGTGTGTGCGTGTCTGTCTGTGTGTATATTGTGTGTGTGCGTGTCTGTCTGTGTGTATATTGTGTGTGTGCATTTCTGTCTGCGTGTATATTGCATGTGCATTTCTGTCTGTCTGTGTGACAGTCACACACACACACTCGCACACACAGTTACAGGCAGACAGTCACACACTCACAGTTACAGGCAGACAGTCACACACACAGACAGTTACACTCACGGGTTACAGACACACACACATGCAGACAGTCAGACAGACACTTACCATTATGGGCTGGCGGGGGAATGGAGGCAGGGCAGTTCCTGTATTCTAGTTCTTGGGGAAGCAGGGACTCCTTCCCCCATCCTGTGCTGCAGTTATTACCAGGGGCTTCTGGTAGGTTTTAGCCCCACTGCCGCCCTATTTATTTCATATACCCTGGTGGTGAATGGTGAATCCCTCCACCTGGGTACTTCCATTAGCTCCCCTTGCACAGCTCGCACACCCCTTAGGCCGGCCCTGGCTGCCGGTATATTGTACGCTATCAGCCATGTCTCATTCTCTCTTCCTTTCTAGAAATATCCCCCCAAGAAGGATCTGGTGAGGGCTGTCTCCATCATGACCGGGTACGTCATTCAGAGCGGTGGGGCCAAGGCCTGTACTCTCACCTACCTTGCACAGGTAGACCCCCGAGGTGAGTTCTAGGCTCTGTAAGATGCTGATAGGTTGCGCAGGGTATATAGTAAATCCCAATATAAAACCAATAAATGGCCAATGTCACCTTGCAGTACTGCACGGATAGTCCCTCCGGGATTCCCATACACTCCAAGAACCATAACCACTACAGTGCCCCCATTCCCCATTACAACTCGTCAGTGATGTCAATGCAAGTCAGTAATGATATGACTGGGGTTCACCAGAAGCCATTCCCCGCCTCCACTACTTCTGACAGAGAAGTGTGAGCTGTGTGAGCTATAGATGGCTCTCTTTTAGCCAATGTGCTAGGCCAGCACTGAAAGGGCTTAATTCAAGCAACTCTTAAAGCAGAGAGAGACAGGGACCGGGGACTGTAAACAGTTTGATGACTACTTACCTTGGGGGGACTAGTGCACTCATGACACCATAACTACTATAATACACTGTAGTGGTTATGGTGCTTAGCGTTACTGTAACTACATTGATATTTTATTAGAGATTTAATGTGATTTTGATCAATGCACAGCGAGGATATTTAATACAGAAAGACTAAAACATTTCAGGACTACAGGTTCCCTTCTATCACTGTCACCACCCTTTTCTGCTAAAAATTAAAGAGACACTATAGGCACCAAAACAACTTTATGTCAATGATACAGTTTTGGTGTATAGAACACGCCCCTGCATGTTCTTTGCCATGTATGAGTTAAATCATTTTTGTTTCTGTTTATGCAGCCATAGCCACACTTCCCCTGGCTGGGAATCACACTGCCTGCATGACAAAAAATGGATCTTTACAGAGCAGGAGCTAGGAACTTCTAAATTAAATTTTAAATTGAACTATAATCACACACAGAAGGCACCTCTACCAGACTACTAACAGAGTAGACGATAAAACATTCTAACTTAAACAGAATCTGCATTAGATGACTCTTTACAGGAAGTGTTTTGGAAGGATATGTAAGTCACATGCAGGGAGGAGTGGCTAGGGCTGTATAGACAAAGTGATTTAACTCCTAAATGGCAGAGGATTGAGCAGTGGTACTGCAGGGACATGTTCTATACACCAATACTTCTTTATTAAGCTAAAGTTGTTTTGGTGACTATAGTGTCCCTTTAAGTTTAATAAAGATTATTTACATTGTTTCCAGCGCAGACACTTCTTCACTGCAGCTGCCCGCTCTGCCTCCTAATATGTCTGCATGCCTTACTTTAGTAATTAGCCCTGAAAAATGTATTTGCTGTGACTGACAGAACTATTAACTATAATATGCAGAGAAATGTGAATATAAATTGTTTAGAAGGCCTCCAACAACCAAGACATTAATTGAAGAATGTTGGAATACATTTCACTAATACTCTGACAGACCCAGCAAGGGCTCTTATCTTCATTGTTTCTATCTATTTATATTGTGTACAGTATACCTGTGTGTAAAAGACGATTTATACAGTCCACTCTCTATTTAGGTTCCTTGCCAAAGTGGGTTGTGAACAAATCCTCGCAGTTTCTTGCTCCAAAGGTAAGGAAACAATTAGGGAGAATCTTTGTACTTGACCTCACCATGATCAATTCTGTTTAACTCTAAGGGTGTTTATTCTACTAGCTTTTATATAGCTCCAACATAGTCTGTGGTGATGTAAATACAATGGGAATATCTCACAGCAAGCAACTGACCAACCAATTAATGCTGACATATATAAAGGGTGTAGAGGGCCCTGCTCAGCTTCCTATATAGGATAATTCATAAAAGAACTGCAAATTCTAGGCCTCGGGTAACCCAAATGGAAAAACATTGCCACCTCAGAAGGGTGTCCCCAACTTTAAAATTCTGGTCCAACGTTGGCAGTTGGCAGGCTGTCTCTCCATAAATCACAGTTTTGGGGACAATCTCTGTATATTTTATTAGTCCACCCTTACTGAAGTGACAAATTGGATACAGACCGTAAATGCGGTCACTTCCTAGATTACATATTATGCGTTATTGCCCATTCCATATTTTGATATTAATGTTTTGTACCATGGCCTGCAGGCTAGTGCCGGGGTGTAATCCTGCGGTGATCAGGTGAAGCTGGCCTGTAAAGCTTTCTACAAAACACATATGATGTCACAAACCATTGATGACATCACACTTTATAAACGGCACCAGCAATTGCTCAGTGTTCTGATTGAAGTATGTGAGTCAGGAATGTAAAATACTAAGAGTGACACGATATTACATTCAGAGTGAAGTAACTGAAACAGGGAATTGTAAAGGGAATACATGATTTTAGGCTAAATGTAGGGTGAATCAGAAATCGCCAACCAGCACAATGCCTGTAAGGATCAGGTCAGTGTTATTTCTGCCAAATATTATCCTTCATGGCTGTGATTTTGATTGTTGCTGATTTTTTTTATCCAGCCTGTATTTTGGCCTCTCATTCTCTATAAATCTCATAGAATTGACGGTTTAGAAAAATATACTGCATGTTAGATCGTTATGTTGGGCAAAGGGTGAATGTATCCCCTGCATTATTCAGGTAGGAGGGGATTTAACTCTGAATGATTGTTTTACTGTTGATGTCAGGTGTTCAGACCGTTTGGCCAGAACCCTGGCATTTCCAGTAATTGTGAGAGTGAATGAGGGAGTGAGTGTGGCGGACCTGGCCACTTATTCCTATGATTTCCCTGGTTATTTTATGTTTTATCCCTTTGTCGTTCGGGAGACTTCAAACTAACGGAATCCTTTTGTCTCCTGAACGAGGACCACCCCTGTACACCATTAGAACGTTGACACCAGCCACACAGTGCGAAATCACAAGGGGAATAACGAATGAATGTTCCCCCTGGGTGGCCGCCATTTCGTATATAACCGAACATGTGGCAGACAAAAAAATGGCAGCCGTCTTGTCTCCTGAACGTAGGCAGCAGTATTTGGTCGTCGAGTGCCTGGAACTCTTTTCGGCTAGGCACTCATGCGGACGCTGGTAAAACCTAGACCGTTGCCCGTTCTATTTCCCGACCACCTACACGAATGACGTTCGGGAGATATGAACTACATTCGTATCCTAAAATGAAGAGATTCCCTTGCTTGGTGTTCGCATAGGAACCTCACGAACGGAGACCGGTCAAAACCTTACCTCAATGGCATTCCCGTTTTATTAAATCGATCTGAGTGATTCTTGGATATGTTGTACACTCAGACCAGGGCTATCGGGGAATGTACTTTTTGTGGGGTTCTTGAGGATGGTGGGGACACGTTTGGGGAGCATTATATATTGTTGGATTTTCTGAACCTGATAGATAATTAAATAAAATACATTTTCTCAGGCAATTACGCACAGAGGATCCTGGGATTGAAACCCCTGTTTTATTGTGTGGTAAACCCCTTGTAGGGGACTGGGCATCAAAGCCGGTTGTGGCTCAGTAAAAATCAGTTGACTCCCAGAACTGTGTGTCGTCCAGTTATTGGGGGAATGGGCTATATCTGCTAAACTGCGCTTTTTTCCAGCCTCAGAGAATCCCAGTGGAGATTTTGGAATTTATTATTGCAGCTCTGCTGCAGTGAGTGAATGAGGAAGTAAGTGAGTGAGTGAATATGTGAGTAATTTAAATAGTGAATGAGGAGGTAAAGGAGCGAGTGAATAAATGAGTGAATTTGTGAGTAATGTAGATAGTGAATGACTAAATAGTACAGAGGGAGAGCAAGGGATTATCCCTTATAGATACCTGTGTATATGTATACAGTATATAATATCGTATTTGTTTTTAGTTCTAAGAATGCTGTTAGACTGCCGTGGTAAGCTTGGTAAATCAGTCGTACCCAAACCCAGCCTCTCAGAGATTTTTAATATCTTCCAAATGCAGATAACACATTAAAAAAATAACTGAAATAATATATCTGTTTGTGTGCTGGCAGACTGTAAACATATTGCTATAAATAGATTTACTGCAATCTGCTTTAGTCTGTTAACCAGCTGGGTTATGGAGTGATGGTCTGTGCTCAGCCGCCCAAAATGATATCGCTAACCCCGGAAAAAATGACTTTAGCTGTATATGTCCTAGATCAGGCTGAATCCTCCGCAAACGTGCACTGAGCCTAAACCAATCCTTTCACACACACTGAATTATTTTATTTATTTCGCAAATATGTGTCGTTTGTCACTGTAATAGTTTAAATGAAAATCTGCATATTTTATAAATGATATCAGTAGTGACTGTGATACTCCCTGGCAGGGACTGGCTAGTCTGACCTTTCATTTAAAATTCTTAGATTTTTTTACTTGAGTAAATAATCCTTTAATAACCCTTTGTGAACCACGGTAAGGCCATTGGAGTCCTTGCATTTTCATTATCACTTTTATTTTATTAGTGAATAAGATACCGAATGTCCTCCTATGCTCAAAAGACCCTTTAGTTTAGGGCATGTGATGAACGTATCATAGATTTTACTGTTCTATAATTAAGCTACATAAGTGAATTTTAATATTTTTCCCCTAAATCCTAATCTGATTTAATTTCATCTCATCTATTTCCAGGCCATGAAGAAGATGTACAAAGCTTGTCTGAAATATCCCGACTGGAAGAAGAAACACAATCCCCAGCACAAGCCTTGGCTGCATCCGGAGCAGAACAACCTGCCCACCATCAGTCTTTCGGAGGTGTCCGTCCAACATGCCGACTCTCTAGAAAACATTGATGAGAGTGGCGTGTCAGAAAACAAAGACGATCGAGGAGAGGCCAGTGATGATGATAGCGTCAACTAAGAGCTTGGCTTCTCCAACCAATACTCATTCTCTTGTGTCCACCGGGGTCTTCATCAGTAGGACCCTACCGATGGGTCAATGGAAAAAGACTTATTAGGAAATAGGAAGAGAGTTAAATACAGAGTAATTTTTTATACAGCTCCAAAGGGCGCTGGGCTTTTGTATTTTGGGCTCGTGTCAATAACTCATTCACCAGCAGAGAAGGTTGCAACAAATAAAATGGGTGGGATCTCTTTTTTTTAAAAATAATGTTTATGGTTGGTATGAAGATGGGGGGTGGTGATATTATGGTCCCCCCACCATACCCTGTGAGTTATTGTATACTTGTGGCTGTATTTCTGTGAATCTTAATTCACACGAGGTACCTGCAGAATTTATTTTCAAGCCCAGCAGATCATCTCACCCCATATCTTCTAAAACTGCCTCAATAACTCGTAGATATGTTGCAACCCCCTCTCGGTAGGAAGGCATCAACATTTTATATCATTACTTTAAAGTTGCAGGTTAGAAATGGTCCCCTCGATCGACTATCTCACTTGCCCCCAATAAACAAAAAAATAATAATCAAAAATGAAGAAAAAAAAACCAAAATACTTCACATCACATTTTGTCATTTACAAATCCTGTAGTTTAAGAGTAGTTTAGTAACAATCTTGATTCAATCTGAAACTTGTTTTTTTATTTTATTTAAACTCATTATATAATTAAAAATAAATTAGAATTGAAATATAGACTAAACTGACTAGCCCCCTCCCCCACTGCCAATCACAATGGGAGTTTCAGTAATTTGAGTCTTAACCCCTTAAGGACCAAACTTCTGGAATAAAATGGAATCATGACATGTCACACATGTCATGTGTCCTTAAGGGGTTAAATGAATTACTCCAAACACTGAAAATACTGTAATCATTAATTTAAAAATTTTATTTCGGGGTTTGATTTCAAGGGACATAAAAAATTATCTAAAAAATAGACTATTATATTTAAATGCACTGTGAAAGAATGTTTGTAGCATTACAGTCGGTCAGAATGTGTGCAGGTGGCTAATACGTCTTTCTGTAATTTAATTGTTCTGTGTTTCATTTTACGTTCGTTTCTTCCTCTCTGCCCCAGGAAGCCATCACTAGAGCAGATTCATTATTTTATTTAACGCCCCAACATTCGTAGCATACACATTGCTGCTTTTAATTATTTTAACAAAATATTAAAGGAGGTATGGAGATTCACAGGGAGAAACATTTAAATGGGAAGAGATAATATAAAATCTTAGTGGGGATACACGTTTTATTATTGTTCAGTGGGATCGTAAAACCTGAGGAGCATACATATAATTTTAACGCAAACTTGTGCCACCACAGAGACATGCTCCAGAAAGATGTCAGACTGGCCTAGTAAATGGGCAGCCCAAAATCTTCTATGAATGGGCGAATCTAGAACCCCAGGCCTCACATAGGCTTCAATAGCAGCTCACAGCTTGTATGACTAGAAACCCGTGAACAATACGGACATGTCTGGTTACCCTGACTCTTAGGGCAAAAGGTCCATCTCGCAGAATAAGATGATAGGGTTTCGTTTATGGCTAAGTCAGTACCATCTCACAGAACAAGCTGTTAAGTTGGGTCCATTCATGGCTAAGTCAGTATCATCTTACAGAACAAACTGTTGCATTGGGTCCATTCGTGGCTAAGTCAGTACCATCTTACAGAACAAACTGTTATGTTGGGTCCATTCGTGGGTAAGTCAGTACCATCTTACAGAACAAACTGTTACGCTGGGTCAATTCGTGGCTAAGTCAGTACCATCTTACAGAACAAACTGTTACGTTGGGTCCATTCGTGGCTAAGTCAGTACCATCTTTCAGAACAAACTGTTATGTTGGGTCAATTCATCACTGAGTCAGTACCATCTCATAGAACAAACTGTTACGTTGGGTCCATTCATGGCTAAGTCAGTACCATCTTACAGAACAAACTGCTATGTTGGGTCAATTCATGGCTAAGTCAGTACCATCTCATAGCACAAACTGTTACGTTGGGTCCATTAATGGCTGAGTCACTACGATCTCATAGAACAAGTTATTAAGCTGGGTTCAATTGATGACTGAGTCAGTACTATCTCATAGAACAAGCTGTTAAGTTGGGTGCATTCATGGCTGAGTCAGAACCATATCACAGAACTAGCTGTAAAGTTGGGTCCATTCTTGGCTGAAGAGCTAATCTGAGTTTGGTTTAAGATGGGAAGATGTTGTAGGTTACCTATTTCACATAATAACATTTGCAACCCAAATATTCCATATCATCCTATTCATCAAACCAAGCTCACCCCCATAAGCTCATCAGTTAATTGACCAGTTTCGATTTTCTGCGAAAATGAAGGATTACACTCAGATCACCGTCGTTTGCAAAGTGACTTGGTGTGAAAAAACAATGTGGGGGAAAAAGACACAATGTACTCCTAACATTTACCACTATAAGAGCAGCTAATTACTAACATGGGGTCTGTCCCCTATTCTGACATTTATTTTTTCCCCAATCATCTGCCTCTAACTTTTTACCCATCTCCAACTCCAAGTCCACCTTCAGGGAAGAGATATTGTTATCGCAGACTCCACTCATACATGACCTCATCTAAATGCCTCTTAGACCAAATTCTAGTCCACTGTGACATCATAATAAAACCACTCTGGAGGTCCTGTTGCAGACTCCGATGATACAGAAATGAGGACGGAGTTTTAATGGGTTTTCCAGAGATGAATGGCCCTCAAGAGCCACAGTAGCACCTCCGAATGTAGCCCTGAAACGCACAGTCAAATAAAGCTGAAATTAGTATTTTGGGATCTTAGAATACATTTGCTAGCACACCTCTGATGTTCACTGTGTACTAGTGGACTATTATAATAGAATGCCTAGAACGTATGGGTACATATTGTAGTGTATGAGGTTCCAGGTGACATTAGTTTTGTAGTCCAGTAAGCCGCTCTGTGTGAGGGACTGAGGATTGAAATGAGCAGTTATAAAATTATTTTGTTATATATAAATATACAGTGTATTCGTTATGGTATCCTCATTCCTCACCTGCTCCTCACATCTAACCAAGTTCTCTCAAAGGTTTGTGAAAGATATTTACCATGTGGCGTTCAATGCATCATGGGAAATGTAGTTTACAAACACGTGGGGTGCTAAGGTTAAGTATCCACCATGGCCAATGAACAATCTCCATTACTGTTGAGTTTAGTGCTCCCGGCACTGGGAGAGACAGTAAAAAGATTACACCATCCACACAACTGTAATCATAGTTTGTGTAAAGATCTCCAGGTGAAAATGAGCTATTAGTCACGTTTCACAAATAACGATTAATGCAGAATTACAAAGGGATTTCAAAATGGCAGACCTTTAGAAACGTATTATAAGATACATCACTTGTCAGCACAAATTGCCTGTTTGTTGTTCATTTCTATGTTGGTGCAATATTTAGACTGAATATCATTTCTGTGAATAATCACTTTATACATTACTACAGACACTAACTGATTCATCTGATCAACCTTTTATAAAGCTCCCCTATTGTGGCCCAAGGGCAATGGGTTGCGCAGTCTGACACTGACGATCAAAAGGAAATAATGGAGACACGTTCTCAAAGTGAAGCAATCAGTGAGAATAATCCAGCTGTTTCCATGGTGACTGCTCCACGTTTGGAATATTTCCTGACTTTCTGTTTGCTACACTTTGACACATTCCCCCTTTTATTAATTAAGGGTTAAACCCCCCAATGAATAGATAAAGAACAGTTCTATCATTATAAGGTGTTTGTACGCTGAGTGAGCTTTAGGTGGGCCGCCCTCACATACCCCCGTCTGTATACAGTGCTCCCTGATGTGGCTAAATGGTCTAGTTATGCCATCTGTCTGCTTATTGGTATAAACCTGTGCCCGATGTTCTTTCACTGACCTAAACTGTGGGTTGATTGTAAGCCATCACTGCCAACTGACTCTGTGAATAAAATGCTTTGTACAGACGTGTCTGCTGGTGATTTTATTGTCCCTGTGGGATGTCCACAATGTGAAACCTCTGGTACTCTTTAAAGGGACACTAACGGCACCCAGACCACTAAATCTCATTTAAATGGTCTGGGTGCAGTGTCCCTGTCCTTTTACCTCTGCCTGTTTTAAGAGAAACTGCAATGTTTTATTAAAAACCCTTTAGTCACTTACCTGATTCCAGCACCGATGTCACTCCATGGTGGGACGGTGCTCTGCCTCCTCTGATGTTATCCTATGGGAAGGGGGAAGCTAGTGTGCAGGCCCTCCCCATAGGAAAGCATTGCTTTATTTCTTTCCTTCGGGATATCTCTGATCCTGAATGTCCTTATGCAAAGCGTCAGGACATCCAGCATAATTTATGGGACCATAAGTTTGTTAGCAACCAGGAAACATCTTTAGTTGCTGTCTGATTGACAGCCACTAGAGGAAGTCTTAGTCCTGCAATGTAGTTTCTCAAACCGGGATATGGACACTGCACTCAGACCACTTCAATGAGATGAAGTGGTCTGGGTGAATATAGTGTCCGTTTAATGCTTACATTTCAGGGTTAAGACTGCCTCTACTGGCTGTTGAACAGACAGCCGGTAAAGGCACTTACTGCTGTCCGTGAACAACCATTGGGCATCCTCATGTTTTTGCACTGGCCACGGTGTGGGGTGCAGGATGCAGTTTTGTTCCCCTATCCAGTCTGCTTCCTGTCTGAAGCTCCTCTACCCGCAGTCCACAGCTTGGCCACGCTACACAGGAAGGTGAATGAGACACATGGAGGAGCTGGTGGGGGGAGGAATGAGACACATGGAGGGGCTGGGGGGAGGAATGAGACACATGGAGGGGCACAGAGAACACAAATAGGAGGACAAAGACACACAGAGGGGCTGTGGGACAAACAGACACAGAGAATTGCTGGGGGGATAAAGAGAAACACAGAATGGCTGGGTGGGGGCAAACAAACATATAAAATGGCTGTGGGAAGAGGAAGGGGGAAAAGAGACATAGAAAGGAGTTGGGGGAGAAACAGATGAACAAAAAAGCTGAATGAAGATAGATACCTCCCAACCAGCCACAGCAACCAGCCTGCCTGTCAACCAGCCACAACAACCAGCCACAGCTGCCAGCCTGCCTGCCAACCAGCCACTAGATTTATTTATTTATAATTAAAATATTGTATGTGGATTTTAATATTTATCTGCATTATTACTCCTTAAAGTAGAACTCTTGTTAAATGTAAAGACAGTCTATATGCTGAAACTGACAAACCCTCCTCCCCATTGCTGCAGTTAACAGGTAAGGTATTAAAAAACAAAATAAAATTCAGTTTCAACGTTTGTAAAGGTTCTCTTAATACAAATCAATCAAAGGCTCCACCAATCAGCAGCCTTTCATTCCGGTCTATGGGGTTACTCTGTCCAGCCAGTGTTTATGGGAGATGTAGTTTATCCAATGATCACTTCCCGGTGCCCAGGATAGCTGGCATTACAGGAGCAGCTGATTCTACCAGCGGAAGATCCTGACGCATTCCTCCAGGATTTTGAAAGACAATGCACCCTACATAAAATTGATGTGGAGGAATGTGTTCCCATATTGGCACGCCGGCTATCAGGGAGAGCAGCAGAGGCTTACCGCACTATACCAGATGAGGAAATCAGGAATTATGGCCGGGTAAAAGAGGTGATACTGGCCAGGTATGCCATTACACCAGAGGCATACAGAAGGCGGTTTAAATTCTTAAAAAAAAAGAAACAAAGATTCACATGCTAAATGGGCCTGCCGGCTACATCGAGCTGCTCTTGGGTAGGAACAGGCACATAAAGCCCGCACAATGGAAGACTTGCTACAATTAATATTAATGGAGCTATTCTTCAACAGGCTGGCACCAGACATCCAGGAGTAGGTAAGGGACCGCAACCCCACTTCCATCACCAAAGCAGTGGGCCGATGAGTATATGGATGCCCGCAGACAGCAGAGACCAGTCCAGTCAAGGCCCTTCTTCAAGCATGCAGCAACACCTCCCGGGCAACTAGTACCTCCAAGGCAAGCCAATAACCCTATTGCCCAACAACCTCGCTTCCAGTCGCAGAACCACATCCAGTACCACATCTGTAAAAAGAAAGAAAGGGAAGCCCAGACACGCGACCGGGCTCCATGGATCCGCCCGGGACAACACCACCCACCAGAGCAGCAGCACACTACTACCAGGCAGAGTATCCAGTCCAGTATGCCGCTCCTGCACCAGCCATAGAGCACTGGGAAGTCCTACATGAAGCGGACCCACTTGAGGTGGACACAGATAATCGCCAACACCACCGGCAGACCGTCATCTTGGCATGGAAGAAGGTACAAGGGCTCCGTGATAACGGGGCCCAGGGCAGTTTTTGCCGTGAGACAAACAAGGCATTTGCCTTGGCGGCACTTTCCAGGGGGCAGCAAAAAAAGCCACCTCAAATGCCCAGGCAAATGACTTGTTAGCTTGGCGGCTAACTAAAAATCCAGGCGAGATGCCAGTTACCCGGCATCACTCAACTTGGAAAACTTCGGAAATAAAAGGAAATCATGACGGAATATTTCCGTCATGTGTCCTTCAGGGGTTAAAAAGAAGAAGCCTAGGGCAGCACAAAACCAGGATACACCACTGCCCTAGCCACCCTTACATTGGTCAAAATAAATTTGGTACCGAGCGCTGCAAAGACCCAGAATACAGTGGCCATAAGGGTAGCTCGGGTAAAAGACTGTACTGTACACACACACACCATGACAGACAGACTCGCACACACACACACACACACACACCATACAGACACTCACACCATGACACAGGCAGACAGACACACCATGACACAGACAGACAGACACACACACACACCATACAAACAGACACCATGACACAGACAGACACACACACCATGACACAGACAGACACACACACACACCATGGCACAGACAGACACCATGACACAGACAGACACACCATGACACAGACAGACAGACACACCATGACACAGACAGACACACCATGACACAGACAGACAGACACACACCATAACAGACAGACAGACACACCATAACAGACAGACAAACTCACACTGACACACATTACCTGCCAGGAGGTTGTGTAGTGCAGACGGCTGTCTGTGCTGGTGGCTGCTGGGGGAGGTCTGCTAGTGGCCATTAGGGCACCTGTGCTGGCGGCCGCTGGGGGAGGTCTGCTGGCAGGCCGCTGGGGGAGGTCTCCTGGCGGCCGTTAGGGCACCTGTGCTGGCGGCTGCTGGGGGAGGTCTGCTGGCGGCCGCTGGGGAGGTCTGCTGGCGGCCGTTAGGGCACCTGTGCTGGCGGCCGCTGGGGGAGGTCTGCTGGCGGCCGCTGGTGGACTTGTACTGGTGGCCACTGGGGGAGCTGCATTGGCTCTGCTCTCCCGCCCTCGCGCGCTGCTGAATGAGACTGGGGCTGGAATATGACGTCATATTCCGGCCTTGGTCTCATTAAGCTGCATGCTGGGGAGCAGAGCCAGCGCAGGTGCCCCAACGGCCGCCAGCAGACCTCCCCCAGCGGCCGCCAGCACAGGTGCCCCAACGGCCGCCAGTAGACCCAGGTGTCTGCCCGGCCCCAGGTGCAGACGGGCCACCTGGAAATTTCCTGGTATCCCGGTGGGCCAGTCCGGCCCTGCTGAAACCCTACCATGAGCGAGCAGAGGAGGTGGCACCGATTTGTGCCCCTGCCTCTGAGGACTTTGACAACCTTCCCCTGACCGATCTCCTAGGGGATGGAAGCCAGTCAGATGAGATAGAGGAGGTCAAATTGGGAGAACAGTTGAACACACAGGAGCGTATCTAGGTACAACAACTCTTAGATGAGAAAAAGTCTACCTTCTCCAAAGTACCTGGGAACACTCCTTTGGCTACTCACCGGGTAGAGACACCAGGTCAACTCCCATTGCGCCAAACCCCATCCTGAATTCCAGAATCAGTCCAGGAAAATATGCGCAAGGAGATCCAATAGATGCTCCAACTGGGGGTTATTGAGGTTTCTGACAGCTCCTGGGCCTCCCCATTAGTCCTCGTACCGAAATGGGATGGTACGACCTGGTTCTGTGTGGATTACCAGAGATTAAACGACAAGACTGTATCAGTCACCTATCCAATGCCTAGGATAGATGAGCTTTTAGACCGGATGGCTAGGAGCCAATACCTCACCACAATTGATCTTTGTAAGGGGTATTGGCAGATCCCCCTAGCCCCAAAGCCATCCCTAAGTCAGCGTTTGTCACCCTATTCGGCTTATACCAATTTAAGGTGATGTCGTTTGGGATGAACAATGCTCTGGCTACCTTCCAGAGGATGATGGACTGGCTCCTAGATGGGTTCCAAGACTATGCCTGCGCATATCTCGATGATACCTGGCAAGAGCACTTGGTCCAAATAGGGGCGGTCTTAGATAGGATTAGGGAAGCGGGCTTGACCCTTAAGCCCGCCAAGTGTAATATAGGTATGGCCGAGGTACAGTACCTCGGTCATTGAGTGGGATGCGGGCAGCAGAAGCCTGAGCCCGCTAAGATTGAGGCAGTGGCCCAGTGGCCTACCCCCAGGACAAAGACTTTTCTGGGGACAGCAGGGTACTATAGGGTGCCCTGGCCAAGCCCCTTACCGACCTTACCCGCAAGAACCTTCCCTGTCAAGTAGTCTGGGCCCTGGAGTGTGAACAGGCATTCGAAGAATTGAAACATGCACTTGTAATTGCCCCTGTCTTGGCAGCTCCCAATCCAACTAAACGCTTTCTCGTTCATACAAACGCTTCTACGTTTGGATTGGGGGCAGAACTGAGCCAAGTCGGGCCCAATGGTGGAGAACATCCTGCAAGCTGTTACCCCAAGAAGTAAGCTACGCTGCCATCGAAAAGGAATGCCTGGCCATGGTGTGGGCCCTGAAAAAGTTGCAACCCTATTTATATGGACAGCCCTTCTCTTTGCTCACAGATCACAACCTGT